TAAAATAAAATTTTTAAAAATTATAAAATTAAAAATAATAATTTTAAATTTAAAAATTAAAAATAAATTTATCTTAACTTTAAAAATTAGAAAGTCATCTATGTAACTTCCTTTATGCTTTTTCCCTATTGTAACACTTTGGATGATATTGATGAGTTTTATTCTCTTTAGAATTGAACCTTTGAAGTCACTTGTTTCCTATCTCTACCCTCCTTGAGTGCTTTTCTTTGTAGAGCTAGGAACCCTATTCTTCTTTGGATTTAGCTTGTAAGCAAGCTTAAGGTCACATTGAGTCTTCGTGGAACCTCCATCCTTGAAGCTTCTTCCAAGGACATCCGTGAAGACTTGAAGCATCCATGTGCATTCCAAGTGAAAGCACATGCCCCTGCCAATATAGAGTATCTGCAGAAGGGTGTAACCTGGGAAGAATTCAAGACAAATCTTCTCTCCAATTAAAGAGCATTCAATTTTGTTCTCAATTTTTTTTTCTTCTTCAAACAAGCTGAAAATATATTGTTGTTTTGTTTTTAATCATAAAAATGTCATTTTTAGAATTAATTTTTGTTTGGAATAAAAAATTATCTTCTCTATTTTCTAGGTAACTATTTGAAAATAAATATATAAACAAAATGACATTTATAATTAAAATTAAAAATTAAAAAATAACAAATATTTTCTTAAAATCAGTCATATGTTTAATTTTCCCCCATCCTTTGTGGCTCTATTGTCATATTGGTTCCTTAATGCTGTTAGGATTTTCCTTTTTTTTCTTTCTCATTTTGTGGTCAATACATTAGGATTGTACCCTTCAAGGAATGGTACATTACATTTGAAATTCAATGAAATATGCCAATGTGATAACAAGTTGATCAAGAACAAAGCTTTATACTTTGAGGGTGTCTTGCATTGGCTCACATATGATGATCAAATATTCAAATCCCACTTTGGATGCTAAGAGCCGTCTTGGTCGGTTTCGGTCCATGTTAAGTCGACCTAAAACTAAAGTTATTAAAATTCAAGTTTTAAGTTCACTAAAAAAAATATTATAATCAGTTTTTTACAAAATAAAAAGGCCATATATTAATAATAAAACTCAAATATATCTCTTTGATCTAAAATAATTTTTCTTAAATTTCCTTTTTTTTAAGTCTTATTACTCATCATTCAATTGACCCTAACTAACATCAGTCCTAGACAGAGTTTTGGGCCGTTCCTTAAAACATGTATTGGAGAATCTGAAGGGAGGCTGTTTTTGTGTCTTGGTATGGTATCTTGAAGATTATTATGAGTTCAAATGGACACTCACCCTTGGCAAGGATCCAGAAATAAATAAACTTAAAAAAATAAACTCTACTAAATAATATATATGCATCAAATTAATGAATAAAAATTCTTTTGATAGTTAAAGAAAAATGAAAAAAAAAGAAGAATACTTCTTTCTGTACAAGTAAGGACGTTTGGTCATTCCTACATCGGCCACCAAATGGAAGAATCAGGTAGCCGAACGCCAATCGGCCACCTGAATCAGCCCATCATCACTTAACACTTAATCTAGGCTTAGGGGATAATTACTTGATTAAACCCTAAACCCTAAACCCTAATACGATAAATACACTATAGGGCCCATAAGGCTCAAGGCCCATAAATGTCAGTATAAATAGCTCAGGTCAAAAGGTAACGTGACTGTTCATTAATTACTCTCGATATTTGTGTTTGTCCTGACTTGAGCGTTGGAGTGCCTTTTGCAGGTACCAACCCCTCACTCACATCGGATCAGAGCAGTTGTTCGGCCCTCAATTTACGAGAAGATTACTGGTGTATCCTCTAGACAGGTACACTTTCAATTATATAATAATCCAATAAAGAAAATACAAGTTTGAGGAGATTTTTTTTATTAAAAGTAATTATGATATGTAACATAAGTTAACATAAATAACTATTGATAAAAGACTTATTTCATTGAGATATTATAAAAGTTTAAATATGATTTTAATTTTTAGTCCCTTAAATTTAACGTAAATTTGTTTTAATTTCTCAAATTTAAAATCATTCTTTTTATCTTATAATTTTTAAAGAATTTGTTTTAGTTTTTATATTTAAATTTTATTAATAAATATGTTAAATACTGCCACATAAAATCTACTTATTAGTATTTTTATTAATAAAAATATTACAATAAATCTTATTGATATAACATAACTATTTTAATTTATCACTTTTAAATATTTTATTGGTGAATTTAGGAAATAAAATAATTTTTAAAAAAATTATGAGAACTAAAAAAAAGTAGTTTTAAATTTAAGGGATTAATAATAAATTTATCTTAAATTTAAGAAATTAAAAATATAATTAGTAATGATGCTTATTTAATATTGTAATTTTATAATAGATGAATAAAAAGTAAAATTAAAGATAAAGAAGAAAAAAATAGGATAACACTACCTAAATCACATACTCTTTAATTTTGTTTATGACTCCTATACTTGCAACTCCCTCTGTTTAATTTTTAAAAAATGCCATGAGATAAGTTTGAATTTTGTTCTGGTGATTCTCAGTGTTAATTTACTCGTTGGACAAAACACACATGGTAAGAATTCAAAAGGATTAATCTGAATGCATTCAAAGGATCAAGTGTATATCAAATAAAATAACTAAATTTTATAAAATTATAACCTATTTATTATTTTTATCCCACTTGGTAAATCACTGCAAGAGATTGAAGGAAAGAATTTTTATTTTTATATAATGGCCCGTGGATGAATCCTCTGGCCTTCCAAGATCTCTCTTGCTAATGAAGTGTGCGAATCTGTGACACTAATAGTAATTCCCTATTCATGCAGCTTGATTTAACAAGTCACACATATCATACATTTTTTATATCTCTTATTTTTTTATTATTAAAATTATTTGAAAGCGTTAAAGTCATAAAGTTTCAAACACAAATAAAGGATGTACTTGTTCAATTATCGAAAACTAGTGAAGATCCTAAAATAAAGAGTGAAGCCATGTGTTTAGTGACTTATGAGATGAAAAATTTTGAATTTTTTATTAGGAATAAATATTTGGTATGATATACTTTTTGCTGTTATTTCTGTAAGTAAGATTATGCAATCTAAAGATATGCATATAGATGTTGTTATAAATCACTTAAGAGGCCTTATAACTTATTTAAAAAATTATAAGGAAAATAGTTTTGCATTTGTATTAGAATCCACCAAAGAAATGACTATATTGAAATGAATATAGAGCCTAAGTTCGATGAAAAACGTAAGATTTATAGGAAAAAATATTTTGATGACATTGATAGTGATGAGATAGCTCATTTGAAGATTCTTTTCGCATTGATTATTTTTTTGTATATATTACATCAATCTATTTCTTCTATTGAGAGTCGACTTGAACAATTTTTAGAATATGAAAACATGTTTGGTTTTTTATTTGATTCAAATAAATTTAAAACTTTAGGAGAAGATGAATTGAAAAAATATTGTATCAATCTTGAAAAATTTTTGAGTTTTGAGAACCATTCTGATATTGATGGTCTTGATTTGTTTTCAGAATTAAAGTTATTAAAAGAAATTCTAACAAATGAAATTAACACATCATTAAAAATATTGAACTATATAAAAAGATCATGTTCTTTTCCAAATACATACATTGCTTATAGAATATTATTAACATTACCTATAATTGTTGCGACTGCCGAAATTTTTTTTCAAAATTAAAATTGATTAAATTATATTTAAGATCAACTATGCTACAAAATAGGTTGAATGAGTTAACTATATTATCTATTGAGAGTGAGAGGTTAGAATTACATGATTATAAAACTTTAATAAATAATTTTGCAGTTCAAAAAACCAGAAAAATAACATAAAAATTATTAGGCTATATTAACATAGACCCTATTTTAATTTTTGCCTATAACTCTAAAATTCCTAGATACAGCCCTAAAAGACACTAGAATAAGATATCAGTAATTGACAAGTTTCTTGTTAATATTTCAGTCAATACATAAATAACCTCTTTCCCCTTGTAATTTTTGTCTGAGTTAGGGCTTACAATTGAATTTATGCTCATTTTTATACTTCAGTTCTTCCACCAATATCTTTAATTCTTAGCTTAAAACAAGATTTTTAGAAATTATAAGATTAAAAAGATGGATTTTAAATTTAAACAAATTTAAACGATTAAAAACCTTCATTTCTCTGATATGGGTGTGTATTCTTAACAGAAATAAAATACCGGCTTCTGTGATTCAAGCTTGATAATTTTCAAATTTAACAGCATATAAACATCTGACTGGCTGTTCTCTTTTCATATTATGGTGAGGATTTAATTTTATGGTCAGTTATTAGCGCCTAGATCGATCGATCTTGCAAAATTTGAAATGAAAATGAGATCACACTTGTAAAACCATTTACATAAGAGATTACTCTTGTATTTTGGGAACTTTTTACTGTACTAGAATTTTTTAAAAAGAAAAATACAAAAATAAACCTTTCAATAATTTATTTACGAAAGTAAACCGATTTAATGTGCATGGTCCCCAAAATTGAATTCCGACCAGCAAAGTGACATCAATTTCGCAATTGAATGTATGAAGGCAATACATTTTTCCTGCCGGAATTCGATCCCGATTCGAATTCCGTGCAGGGATTAAACTTTTTTCCCAGTATTTTATATATATAAATTAAATATTAAAAATATTTTAAAAATATATTATAAATATAAGATAAAATTTAAATAAATAATAATTTTAATAAATTATATTTATAATAAATTATAATTTTAATAAGTTAAAAAATCAATAAGTTATTATTTGAAAAAAATTTTCTTTATTTTAAGACATTTATACCTTTTTTTTATCATATTTTAATATTTTCTTATCAATATATAAGTTAAGAGTAAAATAAGAAAAATATATATATACAATAAGTTAAGGCTTAATTACTCTTTTGGTCTCTCATTTTATTCGATGAATTTAATTTGATTCCTCTATTTTTAAAATGTTTAATTTGGTCCCTTAATTTTTAAAAATGTTATAATAGGATCCTTTTCATCCAATTAAATAATAACTTAAAGTTTTTGTACGCATGACAATATGTGTCATTTTTTTTATTACGTCATGTGTACAATAGGTTAATATTGTTAATGTTAATTAGACTAAAAAGACTATATTGTATATTTTTAAAAATTAAGAGACAAAATTGAATAAATAAAATAAAATGAGAAACTAGAAGAGTAATTTAGCCATAAGTTAATTACTCACTTCATCAATGTTAGTTGCTCATTTATTTATTTCAATGGAGACATAAAATATTTTTTCCCCACTGATAATGTATAGTAAAGCTATTAGCTTCTACAATCAACCCTTGTACACTATAAATATCTTGGGTGAAAGTATTTTTTATGAGTTTTTCGTCGACAAAAAGAGTTTTAGGAATTCTTTTGACTATATATCTAATTTGATTTTTATTTTTAATAATTATTTTTAATTAAATTTTAATATTTAAAATAAATTATTAATAAATAAAAATAATTTTGTGTAACAATATAATTTTTTTATCATAAATATAAAATATAATATATATATATTAAAAATATCTATTTATTCAAAATGATAAATATAAGTTTTATATTTAAATATAATATTTATTTGTATACTTAATTTATTATAAAATTTTAGTTATACATAATAAACATTATTATGTGTATTTCACGTGTTAAAATACTAATTTTTTTTCGACTCATACTTAAAACAATATTCGACTGATTTACGTTTTTTACATTATTAATTCATGAGAATAAAATAAATTTGCTATTCAATAATTTGAAAAAAGATTTAAATATTTTTAGTGTCTCAAATTTAAATTAAATTTATTTTTAGCCTCTTAAATTTAAAATTGATCTTTTTATTTCTTATAATTTTGAAAAATATTGTTTTAGTTTTTATACTCAAATTTTGTTAAGAAATCTACTAAATATTATCGTATCAAATTTACCTATTAATATACCTGTTAGTGAAAATATCATATTAAACATAATTAATGGTATATAATTATCTTAATTTATTATTTTTAAATATATCATTAAAATAAAATTTTTAAAAATTATAAAATTAAAAATAATAATTTTAAATTTAAAAATTAAAAATAAATTTATCTTAACTTTAAAAATTAGAAAGTCATCTATGTAACTTCCTTTATGCTTTTTCCCAAAGTATGCGATCTACACATGACACAACATGTGTACAAGGTCCCATCAACCCAGCCTTGTCTTTTTGTCATAGTGTTCCAAAACTAGTTTTTTCTCTGAACCCAATACGGTCATTTCCAAGCAAATAGATCTTCCATAAGGCCTTCATTCTACAATTGCCAACACACCAATTCCAACCTTATCTTGAGGACACCTCCATCTCCTTCCTTTGGTTATTGTTAGAGCACAAACAAGGTAATTTGACAAATACAAGAGCCACCATACTATGCAATATGAACCATACTACACTTCCCATGAAAGGTGTGGCCACATGGACAGTGATGCCATCACCTATGCTTCCTATACCATTACCATCTTCTCTCAATAAAATTTCCACTCACAATTTGGGCTTGTGTTGTCCCTTAAAAGATTTGACTTTGAGCAACCAAAGAGGTACAAGCCTCTTGTGTGCAGCAAGGAGGCAAATTAGATACCAAGATGAGGATGAAGATAGTGATGAAGAGTATGGGCACAATGAGGAGATTGCTAAGTTAGAGTTTTATAGTCAAACAGCAAAAGGAGAAGCACTCATTGTGCATGCACTTGTTGACCATGAGGAAGTAGATGTGCTTATCTTCAAGGTTAGTTTGACATATTATGCTAATAATAATTGATTTTATTATATATAGTCTTGGTTGGTACTCAGTATGTTAATATTGTTTGGCTGATTGTGGAATTACTCTATAGATAGAAAGATGTTTCCTAAGAGAAATTTAAATTTGATTGCAACACATTTCAGGGGTTCTCATCATGCTTGAGCTACAGTACCATCTCTGACCCAACAAGAAGCATTCTTCCAGCCAGGGCAGTGATAATGTCCATAGATAGAATCAGAGGACCTTTTGCCCCTGCCAATATAGAGTATCTGCAGAAGGGTGTAACCTGGGAAGAATTCAAGACAAATCTTCTCTCCAATTAAAGAGCATTCAATTTTGTTCTCAATTTTTTTTTCTTCTTCAAACAAGCTGAAAATATATTGTTGTTTTGTTTTTAATCATAAAAATGTCATTTTTAGAATTAATTTTTGTTTGGAATAAAAAATTATCTTCTCTATTTTCTAGGTAACTATTTGAAAATAAATATATAAACAAAATGACATTTATAATTAAAATTAAAAATTAAAAAATAACAAATATTTTCTTAAAATCAGTCATATGTTTAATTTTCCCCCATCCTTTGTGGCTCTATTGTCATATTGGTTCCTTAATGCTGTTAGGATTTTCCTTTTTTTTCTTTCTCATTTTGTGGTCAATACATTAGGATTGTACCCTTCAAGGAATGGTACATTACATTTGAAATTCAATGAAATATGCCAATGTGATAACAAGTTGATCAAGAACAAAGCTTTATACTTTGAGGGTGTCTTGCATTGGCTCACATATGATGATCAAATATTCAAATCCCACTTTGGATGCTAAGAGCCGTCTTGGTCGGTTTCGGTCCATGTTAAGTCGACCTAAAACTAAAGTTATTAAAATTCAAGTTTTAAGTTCACTAAAAAAAATATTATAATCAGTTTTTTACAAAATAAAAAGGCCATATATTAATAATAAAACTCAAATATATCTCTTTGATCTAAAATAATTTTTCTTAAATTTCCTTTTTTTTAAGTCTTATTACTCATCATTCAATTGACCCTAACTAACATCAGTCCTAGACAGAGTTTTGGGCCGTTCCTTAAAACATGTATTGGAGAATCTGAAGGGAGGCTGTTTTTGTGTCTTGGTATGGTATCTTGAAGATTATTATGAGTTCAAATGGACACTCACCCTTGGCAAGGATCCAGAAATAAATAAACTTAAAAAAATAAACTCTACTAAATAATATATATGCATCAAATTAATGAATAAAAATTCTTTTGATAGTTAAAGAAAAATGAAAAAAAAAGAAGAATACTTCTTTCTGTACAAGTAAGGACGTTTGGTCATTCCTACATCGGCCACCAAATGGAAGAATCAGGTAGCCGAACGCCAATCGGCCACCTGAATCAGCCCATCATCACTTAACACTTAATCTAGGCTTAGGGGATAATTACTTGATTAAACCCTAAACCCTAAACCCTAATACGATAAATACACTATAGGGCCCATAAGGCTCAAGGCCCATAAATGTCAGTATAAATAGCTCAGGTCAAAAGGTAACGTGACTGTTCATTAATTACTCTCGATATTTGTGTTTGTCCTGACTTGAGCGTTGGAGTGCCTTTTGCAGGTACCAACCCCTCACTCACATCGGATCAGAGCAGTTGTTCGGCCCTCAATTTACGAGAAGATTACTGGTGTATCCTCTAGGATTACTTGAGATGTGTTCCCTAGCGGACATTTTTTTTTTTTTCTTTTGATCCTCACTTTTGCCTAGGCTATCCTTTTTGTTTGTGGATCTCCTAGCAGACCTTGCCTTAATTTTTGCGCAGCCCCCTTAGTGGGTTTCCTGCCAGGCTTTTGTCTTTGCAGCATTTGTGATCATTTTTCATTTCTTCATTGAAGGGGGATGCCCCTTACACTGATTTCATTTGGACCTTTATCCACAAGTCATGCCCAATTTGTTTGATCTTTATGTATTTTTTTTTATTGCGTATTAAGCCATTGTTTCTAATGACGTCCTTATTTCAAATGTACTTGTTCATTTAAGGTTTGCTGACGAGGCTTAGAGTAGATAAGAGGGAGAAGAGAAACGAAGTAGAAAAATGTATGGCATTAAAATAGAATTTTTAATTTACACGTGCCCATTTAATATAGCTCGAAGGCCCGGGCATGCCCCGAGTTCGTGATTCATACACAGAGAAGTAGAAGGAGGTTGCTCCTTAGAGAGGCCTAGGTCATCTGACTGTAGAGCTAGTCCTCCACTTGCTTGGATGTGGCACTTTAGAAGATCTCGTGTAGAGGGAGGTCCTTTGGCTTCTTCTCTCGTGAAGGTGTTGTCAACCCATATCCTGAGACTTTCCTGAGTAGAAGTGATGATAGAGCTTTTCATGGAGTCTTGCTTCTCAAGAGGAACATTTAAGTTGTCTCTTGATTTTCAGCTTGAACAAACATTGCCCCTTTTTGTGTTTTTTTTTCGTAGAACGCCCTTTGCGGGTTTTCATTTTAGCAACTTCTTAACAAGCAATGCTTATCTCTTGTTGAAATCAACTTTTGAGAAAGCTCTATTCACTTTGCCTTAGTGTTTGAGGGATTCGTCCTCCTCAGGTTCCCTTTATTAGCTTGCATCTCGTTAGGAGTGTGGATTCATCTATTCATAGTCATTTCTCCTATTTCGCTTGGATTTCACAGTTGTACGACACGACTTTATCCTCTTTGGGGCAAGAGTTGACGTCTTAATGATTGTGGAGTTCTTTACCCTAAAATCTTTATGTCAAATAAAGGATGTACTTGTTCAATTATCGAAAACTAGTGAAGATCCTAAAATAAAGAGTGAAGCCATGTGTTTAGTGACTTATGAGATGAAAAATTTTGAATTTTTTATTAGGAATAAATATTTGGTATGATATACTTTTTGCTGTTATTTCTGTAAGTAAGATTATGCAATCTAAAGATATGCATATAGATGTTGTTATAAATCACTTAAGAGGCCTTATAACTTATTTAAAAAATTATAAGGAAAATAGTTTTGCATTTGTATTAGAATCCACCAAAGAAATGACTATATTGAAATGAATATAGAGCCTAAGTTCGATGAAAAACGTAAGATTTATAGGAAAAAATATTTTGATGACATTGATAGTGATGAGATAGCTCATTTGAAGATTCTTTTCGCATTGATTATTTTTTTGTATATATTACATCAATCTATTTCTTCTATTGAGAGTCGACTTGAACAATTTTTAGAATATGAAAACATGTTTGGTTTTTTATTTGATTCAAATAAATTTAAAACTTTAGGAGAAGATGAATTGAAAAAATATTGTATCAATCTTGAAAAATTTTGTTGGAGTGCCTTTTGCAGGTACCAACCCCTCACTCACATCGGATCAGAGCAGTTGTTCGGCCCTCAATTTACGAGAAGATTACTGGTGTATCCTCTAGACAGGTACACTTTCAATTATATAATAATCCAATAAAGAAAATACAAGTTTGAGGAGATTTTTTTTATTAAAAGTAATTATGATATGTAACATAAGTTAACATAAATAACTATTGATAAAAGACTTATTTCATTGAGATATTATAAAAGTTTAAATATGATTTTAATTTTTAGTCCCTTAAATTTAACGTAAATTTGTTTTAATTTCTCAAATTTAAAATCATTCTTTTTATCTTATAATTTTTAAAGAATTTGTTTTAGTTTTTATATTTAAATTTTATTAATAAATATGTTAAATACTGCCACATAAAATCTACTTATTAGTATTTTTATTAATAAAAATATTACAATAAATCTTATTGATATAACATAACTATTTTAATTTATCACTTTTAAATATTTTATTGGTGAATTTAGGAAATAAAATAATTTTTAAAAAAATTATGAGAACTAAAAAAAAGTAGTTTTAAATTTAAGGGATTAATAATAAATTTATCTTAAATTTAAGAAATTAAAAATATAATTAGTAATGATGCTTATTTAATATTGTAATTTTATAATAGATGAATAAAAAGTAAAATTAAAGATAAAGAAGAAAAAAATAGGATAACACTACCTAAATCACATACTCTTTAATTTTGTTTATGACTCCTATACTTGCAACTCCCTCTGTTTAATTTTTAAAAAATGCCATGAGATAAGTTTGAATTTTGTTCTGGTGATTCTCAGTGTTAATTTACTCGTTGGACAAAACACACATGGTAAGAATTCAAAAGGATTAATCTGAATGCATTCAAAGGATCAAGTGTATATCAAATAAAATAACTAAATTTTATAAAATTATAACCTATTTATTATTTTTATCCCACTTGGTAAATCACTGCAAGAGATTGAAGGAAAGAATTTTTATTTTTATATAATGGCCCGTGGATGAATCCTCTGGCCTTCCAAGATCTCTCTTGCTAATGAAGTGTGCGAATCTGTGACACTAATAGTAATTCCCTATTCATGCAGCTTGATTTAACAAGTCACACATATCATACATTTTTTATATCTCTTATTTTTTTATTATTAAAATTATTTGAAAGCGTTAAAGTCATAAAGTTTCAAACACAAATAAAGGATGTACTTGTTCAATTATCGAAAACTAGTGAAGATCCTAAAATAAAGAGTGAAGCCATGTGTTTAGTGACTTATGAGATGAAAAATTTTGAATTTTTTATTAGGAATAAATATTTGGTATGATATACTTTTTGCTGTTATTTCTGTAAGTAAGATTATGCAATCTAAAGATATGCATATAGATGTTGTTATAAATCACTTAAGAGGCCTTATAACTTATTTAAAAAATTATAAGGAAAATAGTTTTGCATTTGTATTAGAATCCACCAAAGAAATGACTATTTGGAACGGCCCGTTCCAATTTGGGAACAGCCCGTTCCAAAATGTAATTTTTAGCCTTTTTAAAAGAGCCTGAAACGGCCCGTTCTGGTATTGGAACGACTTGTTCCAGTATTGGATCTTTAGGTGTTTTCGTCACATTGGAACAGCCTGTTCTGATATTGGAACGGCCCGTTCCGAACCTCGGAACGGCCCGTTCCAATTTTGGAACAGCCCGTTCCGGGCTACTAAAACAACCTTATTTGGCCTTTAGGCCTTCTGATGTCCTATCTTGTTGTTTGCCTGCTTCGGGAGCTCATTCCCTTCATGACAGAGGTCTGTTTTCTTATTTGTGTGCCCCGTGGACGAAATTGGGTGTCTACAATGCATAACCGATCCAACTCAAGATTCGAACCAGTTGCACTACCGGATCCCGATTCAACTAGTCTGACCGGCAGGTCCGATACAATTTATAAAACACTGCTAAAAATATTTATTTTTTTTTTAAAAAAAGGGTATAAGCATCCACAATTGTGGAGACGAATTCTATTTATATCACTAAGATTTATTATCTTCAATAAAATTCAAGCAATATCAAATATTTTGTCTAACACTATTAATAGCTGA